TCATAAAACAGCATGTGTGTTACTGTTACATGAGAAACTATCTGTTCTGTAAGCCTTCACCTGAAGTACAATAAAATATTAAAAAAAAAAAAAAAAAAAAAAACTATTGCCCTGAGATAATCTCTAAACCTTAAGCCAAAAATATCCCCTGAAGTCTTCTTAAAACCAAACAATAGTTTAGCTTAACTAGTAAAGAACGTCTGCCTTAAGCGTTGTGCTTTTTGAAGATCTATCTATATGGGATCAAATTGACAAGAGCAACTCAAAAGTTTACATAGGAAATTTAGGGGGTAGTGAGCTAATGTTAATGGGGGAGAAAAAACTCAGAAAAGGAGGGTGAGCATGGTTTTACAACTCGAAGAATGTAATCAATCAATGTCACTGAATTGTACACGTAGGAGTTGTTGAACTGGTGTCTGTTCTGCTGTGTATATCCTCAACAACAACAAAAATAAAATATGTTATAAAAAAGAGACAATGGAAGTAAGTGTAAGCTAAAACAAGCATTTCTCTTTCTTTCAATATTATACTTTAGAACAAGCTGTGTATCTCTTTTTAATCATTTTCTGGCAATTAAAGTAGCGGAATATTTAGCATATATGAAGACTGAATTTATGTTTTGATAGTTGCTCCTTTTATAGTAGGAAGTCTGTTATATAAACCATGATGAAGTATGTGTCTGAGTGGAGAGTCATGGTAAAATGTAACTGATTAATTTTTGTTACTATATATAAGTACAGCTTCTTAGCATGTACCTTGAGTATAATATTGCCTGAGTCCACATCCCTAACAATTATTATCTGTACCTAAGAAAAGATTGGTGGTGGGGAGAAATTAAGATGTAACTATGATTTAAAAGGTCTGCTTTACTGCAAGTTTCAGAATCTAAGTGTAACTTAAAATATGCTAAGTTTGTCTTCCTTAACTCATTCACCTATTTTAGAATTTCGATTTTTTACATTTCATATTTTTAATTGGAATTTTAAATTCTTAAATTTAAATTTGTTATTTCATCAAATGCTTTCACAGCAAGATTATCAAAACCAATATCTGTATTAAAAAAAGAAGATATCTAAACATTAAATAATGGCACAAGGCAATATTTGTGACAAAATCTTAGCAAAATCAAAAATCCCAACTTGATGTCTACAGAAATAAAATTTTACTGAACTAGTGTTTTGGTTCTATAGTTTTACGAATCTCGATTAAAATGTGATTTCCTTTCTTGGTTAGATATTTATAAAGAAAATTACTGATTTGAAGACATTTTAAGTATTTTTTTATGAATCTTGCTAATAATTCTTTTTTTATAGTCCATCTTTGGTCCTGAAATTCATGTTCTCTTTTGTAATATTTTTTAAATTTCCCATCCTTAGGTGTGGATGTGTGGAGGAGAAATGTTTGATGTTCCATGTTCTAGAGTCGGTCACATCTACAGGAAGTACGTCCCTTATAAAGTTCCATCTGGGACCAGCCTGGCAAGAGTAAGTAACTGGGGATCAGAATAGTTTGGCCTTGATACAGCTTTCCCTAGGCAGAGCAATCAGCCTCACACCTGGTAGGATCAAAGGTACAGTCTGACAGAAACACTTGACCAAAATAAACACTTCACCACCTACCATTCCATTTGGTAGGCTTTAGCACAGAGAGAATTCCCATATTTCTCAGGGGTTTTATTTCCATTCCTTAAGGAAGTATTAACTATTATGCTAATTCTTATTGTTTCAAAGTCATTTCACATACAGTATATATTCAATAATCTCCTACCTTCTGAAGTTGGTGTTCTTATCTTCATTTCGCAGACGAACAAACTGAGGCTTAGAAAGGTGGATTGTTCACACTCAGACAGGTGAAAAGCAGCAGAGTAGGAGCTTAAGCCCCATACTTCTGAACAGACGTCCAGTCCTTTCTCTCTGCATGGAGCATAAGGGGATCCATGATAAGTCAGATGGAGAAAGCAGTAAACAGAAGATGAGAGGAGGCGGCCAGCCAAACTCGGCCTTCTTTGTCCTTGTTACTAGGGCCAGCTTTGCCTGAAATGTTATTCCATCCTCGAAATTCCAAAATTGACCAAGTCTAAGTCTGTTTTTAGATATTGTTTTGATTGAAACCTTTCTCTTGGACCAGCTGCAAGGCAACTTTTCTCTTCTGCCTTTTACATTGTTTTCACTCGTGTCTGGAAAGCATTTACGTAGCTGCTGAGAACATAGTCACAATACCCTCTACAGACAATCCTGATCATTTCTCTAAGTTTTCCGTCTTATGTTCTTCGTGGTTGGGTCAATTTTATTCACCATAACATATACTTGCTACCACGCAGATGCCAAATCTATAAAAAGGATTTTTTTTTTTTTTTTAACCACATCTCTTTGAGCAATGCTGCCCCTAGGATTCCAATCTTGAATTATTTGTTTTGGTTTTTTCACTAGTAAGTCTGCGACATATATAACCATTTAACTGCTTTTATATAAAACTCAATAATCTCACATAACAAGCTTTTTAAAAAATCTAGTTTATCAGGATTCATGGGAATATCAATCCCACAAGCTTTTTATCTGTGTTCTTGGAAACCCTGGTGGCGTAGGGGTTAAGAGCTATGGCTGCTAACCAAAAGGTTGGCAGTTCAAATCCACCAGGTGCTCCTTGGAAACTCTATGCGGCAATTCTACTCTGTCTTATAGGGTTGCTAGGTGTCGGAATCCACTCAACAGCAATGGGTTTAGTTTTTTTCTTTTTTGTATTTGTTGCTCTACACCCAACCCCTAATACAATGCACGGCAGTCACTCAATAAATATTTGTTTGAAAGAATTAATTAATCCGGAAAAACTAAAATAATAAAATGCTATGAATCTTAAATTGTTACTAAAACTTAAGCATTTTATTGATGTGTAATAAAATTTTCATTTATAGTGATTATTTTGGGGGGAGACATCTTTACTCCTTTTCTGAGATATTTGTCAACAATGTTAATTTTTCTATAGCCACATCTCTAACCTCTATTACAGCAGTTAAAGTTTATAGTAATGCGCTTACATTAAATACACCTTGAAGGGAAATAGTCACATTATTCCTACCTCCTCAAAAATATAAATTAGACATAGTAACATTCTCCACTAAATAGATGTATTAACATACTATTTGAGGAAAAGAAACCAATCACAAAATCATCAAGTGATTAAAGAGCTACATCTTGGGTAAGGAAATTGGCTTAATTTAGTCTTAATATATACAATACATAATTTAAGCTTAAAACATATGAGTCTGGAACCTCATTCAGGAAAGCTACAGAAATACGCAAAAATGATTGAAGAGTTTTGAGTACATATCACAAATCAGCCATGTGGATATAATAAATCATATTCAGTTTAAATACCCCGAAGATAATGATGCTCTGTCATTTATCTACTTTCGCTTACTCATATGTCCCCAGCTTGTGCCCTAACCTGAATCATCCGTTTGCTAGATGGATGGTGTGTGTGCTTGGTTTGTGTCAAGAGCAGAGAGTAAAAGTCAGGGGGAAAAAGTTGTGCTGATCCAAAAGAGTGTATTTTCAAAAACTAAAACTGTTCAAACATTTTCAAGAAGGGAATTAAGTATTTTTTCAAGGATTGTCAAATATAGGGAAACTAGGGTTGACACATAAAACTTCCAGGCGAGAAGTATTTATTCAAATGAAAAAAAAAAACCCATAATTCTGAATTGTAATCTTTTCCATTTAAATTTTACTTGAGGGCTCATTTTTTTTAAACTGCTGGAGCAATCAGAGAGTTGTAAATATTGAAACTCAGCTGTCACTCTAAGGAACACTTTAGGATTTTTTAAATAAAAAAGTATATTAAAATGAAAAACAATTCTGATATTTTGTGAGAGAACCCCACTACCTTGCTACTCCCTACATTATTACTAAATCATCAAAAATGATGAGAGACTTTAAAGATGCTACAGATGCAGGACTATACCTGCTTGGTAGGTAGTCAGTCTTCCCAGCCTCATTTGGAAATGAAGATGAAGATACAGACTTGCCTCCAAGAGCTTCTTTTCTTTTTGACAAAGATGGCTTAATGCTTTGAAAACGTGTGTCTTTCATTTACATACATATGTAAATTAAAAATCCCAATAAACTCTCAAAAACACAGACACACACAAAGGTATGAACAGCCTACAATCCTCTAAACAGTATACCAGTGTGTACTGTTGACATTAAGTTCAAATTATTAGTTCTTCAGTAGCTTCTATTTACCTAGCATTGCAATCTGTTTGGAAGAGGCAAAATATGCATAAACGAAACTATTAGAGGACAATCCAAGACAACAAATTATTGTTCAAATGCATTTTGAAGATATGCATGTATCTTTAAAATATATCTAAAGGGAGGGGGACATGGTACCATAGCTGTGAACTTCTTCAGTCCTCACAAGCTAAAAGAATGGAAGACAGAAGAATTGATGCGTTCAAACTGTGGTGTTGGTGATGAATGTTGAATACACCATGGACTGCCACAAGAACAAACACATCCATTTTAGGAGAAATACAACCTGAATGCACCCTGGAAGCAAGGATGGTGAGACTTCAGCTCATTTACTTTAGGCACACCGTCAGTAAGAACAATAGCTGGAAAGGACATCATGTTTGGTAAAGCAGAGGGTTAGCAAAACCAAGGGAAATCCTCCATTAGTTGGATTGACACAATAGCTACAATAATGTACCAAAACATACCAATGATCATGAAGATGGCACAGGGCCAGACAACGTTTTGTTCTGTTATACATAAGATTGCCGTGAGTCGAAGCCAACTCAACAGCAATTAACAACATCATCAGGAATACCTCAATTAAATTAATAAGTTTCATAAAACTGTGGTTCCCAAATCCATGACCAGTGACCTGAGTCAGTTCCTGGACAAATTTGTACCCAGCCTTAGTGAACGGAGAAAAATAAGAATCATAAAGCTAAATTATTCAATTTAATAAAGTGTCCTTCATATGGTGCTTACAGACTTTTCATGACAGTATAGAAATAAAAGACATTAGTTTTGTTAATATCCTTATTTGGAAAAATAAAATCACCCATGCTAAGTCTGTCTTGGAAGAAGTACAGCCAGAGTGCTCCTTGGAAGCGAGGATGGTGAGACTTCATGTCACGTACCTTGGACATGTTATTAGGAGGGACCAGTCCCTAGAGGAGGACATCATGCTTGGTAAAGTAGAAGGTCAGTGAAAAAGAGGAAGACCCTCAACAAGATGGATTGACACAGTGGCTGCAACAATGGGCTCAAACATAGCAAGACTGTGAGGATGGCGCAGGACCAAACAGTATTTCGTTCTGTTATACATAGCGTCACTATGAGTCAGAAATGATTCGACGGCACCTAACAACAACAACATCTCAGCTCACAAAATGCAAAAATCTAGGACACAGTAGCTTACAATTCAGCTTCATCTGGGAATCAGAGTATTCACTTGTCATTGAAGAGCCTAGATATTTTTACTGGGTCTGCTCAGGATCTAATGTCAGTATATGGGAGTACAGTTGGGGTGCCTTTTCCCCAAGGACAAACAGACAGTGGCCCCTGAGGGAAGGGATGCTCATCCCTAGAGCTGTAGGGAGACTAGAGAGGCACCGGGGTTGTGGTGACAGTCACGCCTTCTCTGGGGTGGCCCTGACTCTCCTTCATCCCGAAGGAGTGAGCAGCTCCTCAGTGAAATACCTTTCAGGGAGCCTTTTGAGCTGAGCGATGCTTTGCACAGCCAGAGGTGGCTGGGTGGCAAATGGGAGAAGGACTTTCAAAGAAAGCCCTTTCGTTCAGACAGATTGGTATAAGAGTCAAGCATTCTGCCAAAGGAGAACTCCCAGACTCCGGTTAATACCACTGTGTTTGGGGGTCAATCAAAGCCACTGCATCAGAGACAGGTGGTTCAACCAAGGACACGATGGAGATGGTTAAGCCTAAGTTCTCATGGGAGCAACTTGGCCCATAAGGGTTCCCCAGGAGGGTCACCACACCAGCAGAGAGCAGCCCTGCAGGCTGTAGGTGGGGCATTCATGGAAGTACATACAGCTCACCTCCCTAGTGCCAAGGAGAGGACACCATAGGAGACAAAGTTGGAACTGACCCTTACCCTAAGTCTGTACCATGCTGGAGAATGCAAATCAGGGGACTGCATTTGTCTGTGTTTTACTTCCAGCATAGTAACGGTAACTGTTTTCTTATTTCATCTTACATTTTGCGGCCATGGTTTATGAAGATGGAAGAATTTAGATTTTTCGAAGTTTCACGATAGGAGTTCAAACCAAAGAAGTCATATCTGATGAAAGTTAAATTCCACAGGATGTCCTAGAGTACTTGAAAATGTAACTATGTTAAAAGAGAATAGAGTTTAGACATCAATGAGTAGACTGAGCTTGTGAACCAAGTTCCAACTGTCCAAAACCAGGCTTTTAACTGTTCTGCCATAATACAATAACAGCAGGGGCATGGGAATG